TTGGAAGATTTATAAATCACAGTTGTTCTCCTAATCTCATTGTCAAGGATGTTACAAATGATCACAGTGATAAGAACCTTCCATATAAGGTGCTGTTTGCAGTTAAGGACATTCCTGCTGGTAGAGAGCTGAGTTATGATTATAGGTCCTCCAAGAGAAATTATTTCAGGGTTCGGAATATTACTTGTTACTGTAGATCACAGAATTGCAATAGTCTGATCCACTTTTGAAGGTACAACTTTGAAGTCAGATGAATATTAAGTGTTGTTATTTACTTATTGTTATATTATGATAATTTATTACATTGTAAAGATAACCTAGTTAGTCACTGTTATATAAGTGAATCATTATTGAATATGTACAAGGTGGTGCTGAGTATATTAAAAATGCATGTCTTTAAGAATTAAGAATACATTCTCAAGGGTCAAACATTAATAGTGTTGATAAACTTACTAAAATTTTGGTAGTTTTGCTTACACTGTGATTAGATGAGAAGCACTTGCAAGAAGGACCACACTCATATATAAGCGATGAATCCATAGGAGAAACAAGTGTTCTTTTACTGTCATATGGCATTCTCCCACCATTCTTAGCAATACAAGGACATTTCTCACTGTTCACACATGCATCTCCACAATCACAGCCCTGAAGAATTGTCTGCTTGAACTTGTTTAAATAAATATTTTGAACTATATAATGGAAAGTTGGGGGTAGTTGAACACAGGTCACTGATGTAACTACCCGAACAGGAAACTTTTCTTTTCCATTGGAAATATCACTAACTCGAATAACATTCTTCTGAACTGCACTACCTCCAGATTTGTGTCTCTTCCTTGAAGTAAAACTTTCAAAGTTCTTTGAGTTGTCAGCATTGCCAGTAACATCATCCTTCAGGGCAACACAAGATTGAGGTTGCTCTAAAATTCTATTCAGTGTAAACTTGAACACAAAATTTCTGTGTGTCCCTTTTTCATGTGTCATATTAGTGACTAAATACAGGCCATCGTAAACAAATAAGCAATGAGACCTGCGGCTACTGCAATACTCCACTCCATCAGATTTTTCCCTAACCTTTAGTATAACTCGCACCGGACATTTAGCATGCATGCTATTTTTGAGGGCCAAGTTTCCTTGTGACAACTTTTGATCACAAGCTGAAACACTATACCATGTATTGTTAGGATTTCCTCCATGACCAATGTAAGCTGACGTAGAGCTCGAATCAACACACATACTTACATGGAGAAAATCTTAAGTCTCCGCTCTTAACTAATTGGGCAAACCACTCGCTTGTTCGTTTTGATCAGTTTTTAATACATCACAATGCGTTTCCTTGCTTTTTCTCTATCAAATAGAATACGTGACTGTTTTAACGAAATTTTTTTTATTCGCACATTTATTTTAAAGTTTTGTGTTGAAATAAAGTCCCAACATAAATTAACATATTTTATAACTAATCTCTGGTTTTAAACTTGATATAAAAATATTATGATATAACTTGATAAGATTTTAAATTAGTATTTTATTAATGGTTGATAATTAGAAAATAAAACAAGGATGAATACATTTTTTGAATTTTATATCTTAGATTTAAGATGAATAAATATATTAAGTTCATTAATAATTTATTTAAAATGTTAAAATTTAATTTATCAAAATAATATTTTAAAAGAGAAGGGTTATAATAACACTGGTGTAACTTTTACTAAGTATTACATCGCTCAATAACTTTATATTAAATGTGAATTTTATAAATTCAATTGTTAGATTGAAAGTTTTTTACTCTTAGATCATATATACAAAATTTTATATGATATCAAGATGATTTGATACTTCATTTTTGTAAAATAAAATTGACGTAATATATACATTTCAAAATAAACTAAAATATGAGCACTTTGATTACCTTCAAGTTGTTCAATTTTAACAAAACTTGATATAAACATATAAAGTGATATGAACTTTCAATATAACGGTTGGATTTACAAAATTTACATTTAATATAAATTTATTGAGCGAGCAGTGTAATACTTAGTAAAAGTTATATCAGTGTTATTATAACCCTTCTCATTTTAAAATATAAAAATTATTATTTAAACTTTTAAATTTATAATAAATAATTTAAATTGTATCATAATACTAATTTTAAAGAGAAATAAGAAGATTATTAATTATAAAAATAAGTATATATATAAATAAAGATTAATTAAATATAATATAATTATTATTATTAGTAATTTAATTATTATATATATTATTATATATTATAACGGTCCGAACACACCGAAATGAGAAGGATCCAAAGATAGTATAAGTTGAGATTGTATAGTTGAGGATGACTTAAATGAATTAATTTGTACTACCTATACTAACAACATGCATCTGCTTTTCGGTAGCTTATCTCATCAGAACTCCACAGTTAAGCGTGTTTGACTTGGAGTAATATAGGGATGGATGGCCTTCTAGGAAGTTCCCAAAAATTGTGTAATTAAGGACAAAACATGTTGAAAAGTGAAGTATTGTGAAATAGAATTCTTGAGAGGTCAAATATGAGTGGTTCTAGCGACCGAATTTGCGACGTTTATAAAATTTAATAAAATAAAAAATAAATCTTAGCGACCGATTTATTCGGTCACTAATTTGGTTCCTATACACATCAGCGACCAAAATCATTACAGCCATTTGCGACCAAAAATTTCGGTCGCTATATAGCTTTACGACCAGGGTTTTTGCGACTACTTAAATTCGGTCACTAAGGTAAATAACGACCAATTTTAGCAATTTAGCGACTGATTTTAGTGGTCGCTAAATGCCATTTTTTTGTAGTGAAATATGAAACTATTGTTTTTTTATTTATACTATTATGTGACACTGTTAGTTACTTAAATAATCATTAGAAATTACAAATAATGATTTTAAATTTTAGAAAGATGAAAATTACAAAAAAAGAAAAAATTATTCTAACAAAAAAAAATACTCATTTTACAATAATCAATACTACTAATTTCTATGACACCATTTTTTGTATTATGCCTATTTGTTGTATAATTGCTTGTTTTGATCTATTGTTGGGTATGGGTTAGTCATGAGACGGTCTTAGGCTTAAGTTATAAAGTTATAGTTGAAGTGTGAGTATTTTGGCTTGAAGAAGGCTAAGGTGTTTTGGCTAGAGTGATGCATGTATTGATTTGTACACATTTGTTCAATTGATGTTGTCAATATCAATATCAATGATTTGCATGTTGAGTTAGAGGTGTTGATGCCCTACATGTTGAAGATGTAGTGGATTTTCTCTCAACAAGATATACTCGCTTGACATACCTTCATAGGTTAAAAACTCAAAGTGTTGAAAATTGAGTTTTTATTCAACATGATTTGTCTTGCTCAACTAAACCACTGAACACGATGAATCTCGTTATGTGGTTAGGGTGGCAAATGGATGGATCAAATAAATTTGAGTTAATCACCTATACATTGTCAGTGTAAAGAATATAATTAAAGAATATAATTGGTTACCAGTGTAAAAAAAACTTTATACTGGCAGTGTATAGGTGATTAACTCAATAAATTTTTAGGCAGATCATGATTAATCGGATAAAAATAATCCATTAAAAATTCACATAAAAATCCAATCTATCAAATCTATTTAAAGAAAAAAATTCATCCAATCAATCAATTGACAATTTTTCATGGATGGATATCCAATGCACCTATAAAAGCAATGTTTTAGCAATTATATAATTTTTATTTTTAAAATATTTTATTTCTTTCTTTTTTCTTTATAAGTCATTACTTTCTTATAGTCTTTTAAAATTCACAAAACTTGTTTTTTATGTGAAGATAGTCTTTTAAAATCTCAATCCAATAATCATCCTATATTATAATCTAATGGATTTTGAAAACATAGTGGATGGATCACTAACCATGATGTAATAGGGTTTGTTTGAGTCTAATGTAACAAGGTGTTATAGTTATCAATTTACTTGGAAGATATAGTTCTTCACTAACATGAAATTGTTGAAACAAAGTAAATAAAATTTTCATTATCTTAGTGGATTTTTCTTCTCACATCATCATAATGGTAAATCAAAATTAAGGTCTTTATTTACATTTGGTGATATAGTCATACACGAAAGATTGTTGCATCTATTACTTGGTTGAAAGAAGAATGCATTAATGGAGATGAAACAAAGTTACTCACAAATACAATTTTTGAATAATGGGTACACAAGATTAGTCTTCCTCGCCTTAAAAATGATTATCCACATGAGGGGGAGATATTTTGTACTTTTTCCCCCTCATCATGGTCTTGACATTGAGTTTTCCTGACAAAATTTTTAATGAGACAGTATATGACAAAATATTAAAGAATGATGTACTGTTAGTAAGATTTTAAGAGATACATTCTCAAATAATGGACACTAAGAGGAGTGTTATGGATATTTAATGGTGATTGTCCATTGTTACTGTTTATATTTCACCTTAATACTATTACCTTATTTGCAATCATTTATACTTATAAATAAGCTATGTCATTGTTGGAAATAATACAAGAATCTCTTTCTTATATTGTTCTCTATATACTTTCTCTTTTTTCTCTTTATTATTTTTACATTACAGATTATAACTTTATGTTATTTTCATAATAACATAATGTTTTTCTTATTATCTAAAGTTAATATTTTACTTAAATGAAATATAAAGTGTATATAAAAAAAAATGACAATTCTTACAATTTTAGTATTTTATATAAACTTATTATTTAATTACATTACAAATATTTTATCATTTACAATATTAATAGAATCCCCTTGAAAACAACTTCTTTTTATTTATGTTTAGTGTGAGTATTTGACTTCTCGAGATTTTTGAATAAATTAATTAATTTTATGTGCTTAAGAAGTTATGCGTAGTGTCAGTGCATAATACTTATCTTCCTCTAGCATTAGCAGGTGAATCGAAATCGAAATTAAAATCTGAATTATCCAATGGCATCATGAGATAATGGAGGATGAGGTATGAAAATGGGTAAATAGGGTTCCTTGCAAACTCAAATTTAACTCTAATGGATTCTTATTCTACTGGTTGTTAATGTATGTAATTTTTAGGTATTTGGCTGGGAAGCAGTAGCTAGAGAAAAAGAAAAAAGACAAAATTTAGATATAATTCTGTGATTAATGTTTTTTCTAATTAAAGTTAAAATTTTATTTTAATAATATTTGTAAATATATATTAATGAGACTTATATTAATACACTTGTATAATATCGAGTTAAAGTTCCAATTTTTATTGGAAAACAATAAGTACTGCTCCTAAGGAGTTGAACTTAAATTTTATGCAAAGGAAAAAGGAAAGGGAAAGGTTTATGAGAAAAGAAAGCAAGACACTATCGATGAGTTCGTGCCTATCGGCATAAAAGAAACCCCAATACCGTAGTTTGAAGACGATGATGACGAAGGTGGCCAAAATTTGGACATATTCAGTATAGTTAATGTTCTTCTGCTTTGATATAGCATGTTCATTCATTCTTATCAATCATTCGTCGTGTTGCAATTAATGTTCCTCTTTTTGACTATCAATTTGGTATTACCCAATCTGCACTTTGTTCAGACACATTGGTGGCCTAACCAACATGACTTGGCAAAGCACTCATTGCGGTAGTTGTTAAGCATAATTATTAGGTGGTTTCCTTAGGGTAATTCCAAACATGATAGGGTAAACTTGACATTAAAGGGGAAGAAAGAACCAATATTGATCATAACAATTTAATTAATAGGGCAGGACTCAAGCGGGTAACTTGTTTATAAGAAAGTGGAAGTTAAGACAACTTCTCAAAAAAATCTTAGGAACATTCATTTGAAAGAGTAAGATTCTAACAACGTCTAGATGAGGATGATTTTTTCTTTTTACAATTTCATTTTGGTGAAGAGTATTAACACAAGGAAGTTCATGTACAATATTATTATCGATGATAAATTTAGACAAATCACGATTCACATATTTTGCTCTAGGAAGCATAACTCATTCTACTCTTTAATAATTAAAATTGTCTTTCGTTAGCAATTATAATGAATTGTTTGATGTTTATTTTGGAATATGATGCAAAAAGTGAAGAAAAGGAGGTCATGTGATCGGTTACTCTAGAATAAAAAAATCCAAACTCCTTGAGAAACGAAACCTCAAGTATTGAAAGTATCCTTGCCCTTCATGAACAATGTACATGAGTCAAAGGGCATACTCATACACTCAATCATCATTCTTAAACGATCAATATCTACCTTACATATTGTAATATCTCATTCCAGTTAAAATAAAGGGAAATTTGCATCACGTATGAATGAACTCAAAAAATAAACAATAGGAGAGAAATCAAAAACTCAAATTTATACTAAACAAAAATGATCTAAATGTGCTTCCAACAATGGCGATGCTGGAGCTAGCAATGGAGAGGGTAGCAACAACTTTGATTTTCTTTTTTTGAACAACAGAAATAGAACTCCTAAGATTGGGAGCTTTAATACCAAGTTAAAAAAGATAATTTTATTAATTTATTTCTTACTAATTACATTCTTCTCTTATCTTATTATAAAAATACATTTATCCCTCAAAAAGATAACTATGAAAATCAAACAAAAATAAAGGAAATAAAAAAATATTATAGAATAATATCAAATCTCCAAAGATACTTCTATTTACATCACACTCGTTCGCTATTATGATTTTAATGGCTCCTCAACAATCATTACTAGTTTTAGCTTGTGAAGGGGCAGAGTTGAAGGGTTACTTGCGAAATGGAGGCGTAAATAGCTTCACCTTTCATCCTAGTCCGAGGATATGGTCAGAAATCATAACTTCTTTTGTTTTTTATTTATGCTTTTTATCCTAATACTCTAAATCTTATGAGTTACTTTTGTAGATTCTTCATGTCCTTAAACCAGAAGTTCAATATGTAAAGTTGTCCATTGAAAAATTTATTCCTCGTCAACAGAATGTGAAAGACGAATAATTCCACACTTCTCCATCAAAAGACAAACTCACTGTTGCTGAAATTGATATTGAAACATATTTTCACTCTACTGGGGAAAAACAATTGCAGAATGTCTCTTATTGCCTTTCCCCACTTTCAGACCTTTCCTTCTAGAGTGCATAAAGTGAAGCATTCCCCTGGATCATTGATGCTTATAGACATCATGAAGCACTTTCAAGGACTAGTATCATTCCTGGAAGTTGACAAAACTTCTTCACTTCAGATTCTACTTCCTCTCTTAGATTAGTACTGCACTATCAAATACGATCACAGTCATAATATGATCCACCTTCTCCTTTTTGGTAGAATGATGTATATATCCGTTGATTGATTCAGGAAGGTCTGTGTTTGGGACATAGTAAGCCAGTCGCCACTACCAAACTTGACGAAGCTAAAAAAGGTAATATCTTCTGTTCAATTTTCTCCCATGAATTTTAATGCCAAACAACAAGCACTCCCATTGTCAACATGGCAACAGAACAGTTGTTGCTTTATTATAGTTTTTCCCCTTTCAAAATTACTTACTTCTTGAAGCGTATTCATAATAAACAACATCCTAATTTCTATGAAGCAACACATTTTCAACTTCTGTGATGATTTTGCAAATATCTGATAACATATGAATATTGTGAATACACTAGCTAATGGCAAGTCCTTTTTGTTCCTGTCCTCTTCAGACAGCATCATGCTCTACAAGATGGTACTTTCAATGACTTGTGTAAGGATCAAGAGGAAACATGTGAGGGTGATGAGATAATTCCTGAGACTCCGATTGCTCAGAGAAGCGTGTCCAATAAAGGAGATAATGCTGGTCAAATGGTAAATCTTGTGGAGATTTACCATTGATAGAGGCACCAATAAGAATGCCTGTACTCCTTTTGTTAATCTTTTGTTGATGAAACTCAAACCTCTTTACTTGAGCTGAAGAATTGTGCAATTAGAAGAGGTCGAGTCTTCCTTTGTCAAACTGAGGAAGGCCATATATACATAACACTGACTTAAGCTTCAGTGATGAAACACTTCCAGATTGTGGTGAAATGTCTGAAAGCATTAAACCTGCTCGCAAATTTACTGAAAGTAATATAGATAAGAAAAACAATAAACTTTTTGCTTCAACAGCAAACTTTCTCAAATCATCTTCTGCCTCAAATCCTGCATAATATGAGCATGGCCAAGATGATTTTAGTTTGTTTACTGCATCTTTTGTTCCTTGCTTTATTGAAGCATTTTAGATCATATTTTGTTTCTTCAAAACAACTTAAAAATATATTTAACAAAATTCTATTCTATAATGATTTATTTGAGAAAACTTAAGGCTTTGGTGCTTCATTTTTCACTTTTAGTGAAAGGAAATCAACACACAATGTGAGAGACTTCATTGAAGAGGAAGCTGAGTAAGCTTTTTCTAAAGACTTGCTGAATGTTTTGCATTCTCATCCTTTGTTTTAGCATTTTTTGACATACAATATCTAGTATCATAGTTAGCATATCTTTCATTGCTGATTCAAAAGATAGAATGATATAAGTAATCCGTATATCACGTAACATTTTTCTGAAAATATCCAATCTCATGAGCTGTTCAATATTGTCACGGTATCTTCAGATTCCCTTGTATCAAATGACAAAGATGACGAGAACGGCAATTCATTAAACAGTTTCATAGATGACAGGACCAACACTACGCGGCAGCTAGTCAACTTGAAGCTAGTAGAATGGACATGATGGCAATTTCCAGGTGATTTTATATTCGTCTCATTTCTCTTGCCTCGTTAAAATCAAATTTTAACAATGTAATTATTAAATTTGTGTGTGTGTGTTTAACGATGTAATTATTAAATTTGTGTGTGTTGGGTGTATGTGTAAGACCGGTAACCATCTCCCTTTTTTTTTTTGCTTTGGGCATGTATCTTCAAGTTGACGCTGTGGCATGCGGCCCATTGCATCTAATTTTTTTTAATAGTTTTTAAGCTTGGTGCTTTTAGACTTCCAATCCTATATAAATAAATGCAACAATTTAGTCTATAATATCATGTTAAATTATCCAGGGAAAAAATTTATTAATAGACACAAAGTAACAAATACAAAATATTAAATAAATACGATATTAGATGTGTCTTATCAAATGTAAATGTGTGTGGAATAATCATTGGGAGGAATTGAGGAAGAGAACTTTATGAAAACGAAACAGCAATATGGAGCAACGTCAAATAACAATATGGAATTGGTGATTGCTAACACGAAAAACACTATGACTCAAAGCATCAAACTAATATATTTTTTAAAGAAAAAAATGGTCCATAACACTATCCATTAAAAAAATATTTAACTTGTTTAAAATAAGAGAGTGTACTTTAGAGAAAAAAATACATTCATAATTATTGATTTAATGATTAAGATTTGTGATAAAATCAGATTTTTATAAAATACAATAAAATTAATTATAATATCAATAATTGAATTTTTAATAAATCATTATTGTGCTTTATTCTTCAAATTGAAATTCTCTAGTTTTAGAGTAGCTAAATTCTAAAATAAAATTATTTTGTTCCTGTTGTGCTTCACATAGTGTAATGTGAGAGATACAACAATGGTAACTTGAACCAATTTTTAATAAAAAAGAAAAATTGACATAACGTTAAAGGTCACATGAGGAGTCAACAAAACTTAACATGCCAATTAATCATTGTTAAGAGTATCAAAACTAAATTGACAAATGACAAATTTAGAGACTAGCTTTCAATTTTAATTCTTTTTAAGGTACTACTCGAGAACAACAATATAATAAGAGGTTAAAGAGAAATGGGGTCAGCCCAAAAAAGACTAATTTTCATGCATTGGTCCATCAAGCATATCTCAAATTTACTTTTAACACATCATTAATTAATTAATAATATATTTAAATTTATAATTAAGCTTCAGCATATTAGACTAATAGAAGATTATAAAGACACGTGGAGGAAATAAAAATAGGGATGGCAACGGGGCGGGTCGGGTACGGGTTTCATGATACTCGTTCCCGTTCCCGTGAGTCAAATTCATTCCTGTCGTCGTCCCCGTACTCGTCGAATATGTGATTTTCATCTCCATCTCCATTTCCGTTGGGTATCGGATTATACCCGTACCCGTCAATTTTTTTAATTTTTATTTTTTGTAAAAAAAATAATATTTTTAAATTATTTTTTTATTATATTATTATAATTAAATTATTTTTCTATCTCATATTATAATAAATAATTACATATAAAAAATTATTAAACTTTTTTTAATATAATTAAATTAAAAATGGGTAAAATTAAAAATAGAAACGAGAACGGGTATAGGTACGGTACGAGACGGGACGGGTAAGTACATACTTATATCCGTACCCAATTTAATATATCAAGTTTTATTCATATCCGTACTCGTACCCAGTCAAACCAGATATTTTCTGTCAAAGTCCAGACAAATTCAAATATTACCCGCGGTTAAGGATATATTTCTCTTCCCTATATAAAAATGAGTTAAAGGTTAAGGGAAGGGCTAAGGGTGAGAAGTAATTTGAGGAAGATGAGTTGGTGTTCCCCACCAGTATGTGCATCCCTCTCCTCTCCGCAGTTTCAACTTCCACCGTCTCGCACGCCCACTCCTTCTCCCAATTCGCTTTCTTTTTCATGGCTTTCTTCATTTCCCATTTTAACTTCAACTGCCTCTCGCTCCGCCAAAAACCCTCCCAATCCCTCACGCTCCGATGTAACTACTCTCCTAGCCCTTCCTTTTCTCTTCAATTTTCATTTTTTATTGCTTTCTCCTTTCTACTTTTATTGTTGCTTCTGCTTATCTAATTCAGTCTATTCATGGAACTGTTCATCTTCCTTTTTCTCTGCATTTTTTTTTTTTTGCATTTTTTTATTTTAAATTTTTAGCTTTGATTCCCAAAGGCAAGACAAATCCTCTTTTCTTCATTTTATCATGACATGCCCTATGGGGTTGATAAATCAAATCAAATTGCAACATTCATAATCACATAACTCTATCCGATGAGTTAATTCGGACTCTTATGGGTTCATAGCAGCCTCATAGAAGAAAGGGTGAGATGGGGATAGACTCAAATTTCGTCTATCCTCCAGTTAGAGCAATACAAGGCTATTTTTAACTACTGTTGTTAAAGCACACACAAACTGCACGAGAATAACAGAAATGTTGGAGTTCAAGTGTGAAGTGAAGTGAAGTCTCACATTGATTAGAATTGGGCATGTTGAGTAGTATATAAGCGAGAAAGATCCACTTATCTAATGTTGAAGGTCTTAGGTTATGTTATGGTGTTAAACTCATTTGTGTAATTTACTCGCTAACCATTATCCAGAGTGCTTCCCAATGGAAAATTTCCCGAACCAACAATAATATTACTTTGATTTCTGCTTAACACAGTCTCAAGCTTTCTTTTGCATTTTCTTCTTTAATTGCACCTTTTTACCTTTCATTCCAAAGGCAAGGAAGTTGACCTTTTAACATTTTATCATACTCTATTGGGTTAATAAATCCAATTGCCACATTCATAATCACATAATTCTGTCTCAGAAAGAAAACTTCAAATTTATTTTGATGCATGATGCTTGCTATATGTTGTACCTGGCTGTAATCATGACACATGATCTATCATTCTGATTCTGAATTGCCTGTAATTTATTATAAGAACTGATTAAGCACTTGATTTACTAGGTCTTATTTTTTCTGTGAACTTCTTTTAGGGGTTGTGAACTATGACATTTGAACATAATTGGACATTGACAAATAGCATGAAGAAATCAGTTGCAGTTTAAATATTCTTCCCTGCCGCTTGCTTAAATGAAGATAAGTAAGTCATTGTTACATGTGTAGGATTCGTTCATTCGAGCTGCCTGGACCCGAAGATCTCGAAGTGAAGCTGCGAAGAAACCTAACAGGAAATCATGGAAGCAGAGAACAGATATGTACATGAGACCTTTCTTATTAAATGTTTTCTTCTCAAAAAGATTTATTCATGCAAAAGTGGTACACCGAGGAACAAGCAAAGTGATATGTGTTGCTACCACAAATGCCAAGGATCTTCGAAACTCCCTTCCATCCTTGATAGATCATAATGCTTGTAGAGTAGTTGGAAGGCTTATTGCTGAGCGATCAATGGAAGCTGATATATATGCAGTGGCCTATGAACCGAGAAAGGATGAAAGGATTGAAGGTAGACTAGGGATCGTTCTTGATACTATAAAAGAAAATGGGATTATTTTTGTTTGAGCTCATTTCCTATTAACTAAGGCTGTTTTAATGTAGCCTCCTTGTATGGTTTGTTACAAATTGTATTTGATTGTTTGTGGATCTTTTGTGCATTAATTTGCTAGTAGATGAATCAAAATCTCGTGGTTTTTATATTGAGTTATGGTGGTGATATATGGCCAGTTTGATTGTTGAACTATTTGTTTACAGTAAGGAGTTGAGAGTGAAACAAGGATTCCGGAAGCAGAAGAACATTATTGTTTTGCGTTTCTGGGGTTTTGTCTATGTTTTCTTTTAACAAGATGGTTTTGCCTATGTCAAAACCATAAAAACCCACAAATAATTTTGAAGACAAGACAAAATGTAGGTATGACGCATTACAAGAGTGTTTATGTATTAGGAGTGTGTTAAAGAATGTTTTGTTAGCATTACTTTTTCATCTAACATCAAAGTTACTCTCGATAACTTGTGCAACAAAAATCAACTGATATTGCTATAGTGTAACTATAGTTTTAATTGAGCAACACTATTCATGGCATTTCACTTAAAATTCAGAAATTACTATTTACTATGAGATTTCTTTTAATATTTCTCAATGTCTTTCTCGATCTCTCTTTATTTCTTTTCGTTCATAGGATAAAAATGATGTCAATTTTATCACCGATGGTTTTAATAACCTATTTTACACCTATTCAAACTGCAGCAATCGATTTATATCATTTCTTTTTCGCTCTCTAAATACTTTATTATAGTTTCATTTTAGTTCTCAAATGTTTTGTTAATAAAAAACATGGACGTTATCACATATGTTCATAATAGGAAGATAGAGCTGATACAGGTTGTCAATACATGCCTATTTGAAATCTATTGTTATATTTTCTACATTCTCCAGAGATCATTGTTGCAATATTACCGGGTTGCAAAGGGTCCAGATGCTGTAGAAATAAACAATAAGTTTATTGAAGTAATACGCCCTATAGTAGCCAGGCTTACAAATATTGGGGTCATTCAGAACAGTGATTACTGCACTGTAAGGCTCTTTAACATTTTTTTACCAGTTACAGATAGTTCTACCTATTGTCAGCAAATATATGCATGACTTGTTAGTGATTTCTATTGATGTATATCAAAATATATATTTGAGCATGGATCTCGCTCTCCTCTTTCCTTCTTCATTTTACTTTCATCACCTATTGAGGGATCATCTAAATTTGACTTGTTATGTTTATCAATTCTTTCAAAATTGTACAATATAGCTATAAATATAATCAAGTAATTGTTTGAAGCCTGAAATAATTTACAAGAGAAATTAATTCCTGAGATACATACAGTAAAAGAGTAACAATATTTTGGGATCATGGCTTATACTTCTGCGTGTTCTATGTTATTTTGGGATCATGGCTTAAACAAAAACATGCCAGTCAGTTGCCATTGCCAATAGTTGTGTCATAAAAGCTATTACTTTGTTAATTAGTATTTAGGTGCAATTGAGATGATCCATGTTATACATTTTTATGGTAAATATTTAATTGGTAGTTTCACTAATAGAAACTTAGAAATTATCTTGAGACAATTATTCTTAAAATTGGTCGAAAGGAAAATACCTAGCACTCCTAGTCTTTTAGTTGAGCTTATTGATTCTAATTTTCTATTATTTTTGTTCTTTAATTTTAATGTTTATATTTATTTTTTTTTTTGCTTTGCGTGTCATGAAATGTTGGAGGATAGTGACACTATTTTCCATTTGGAAGATGATCTATAAATGCCAAGATACATGCTATTATGATGGATTGATTGGAACTATTGTTGCTTATTATTTTATAATTTGATAGGTTTAAACATTACCTATTTGCTTTAGCCTTGCTCTTTATTATGAAAAAAAAATGACATTTTGTATATTATTGCATATTTTGGTAGATTAGAAAATGATATTTTGTTGGAATTGGAACTTTAGAAATAATGCCTACTATGAACAATAATTGCTTACGGCACATACAAAATGAAGGAAGTAATATAAAAATGTCACAATAATAATAATAAAAGTGTTGTGCCATTTATTTCAATTATGTTGTTTTGTTGTTTTATGGTTTTATAATTATATGATTGGATATTATGAAACAGTTTTTGTTTATTAAATTGATCAAGAGGGATTTTGGTTAAGAAGGGAACAATCAAATTACAAATTTTTGAATCTTAATTCTCCTCCAACTTAGTTTGTGTTGTTGACATGATGCAAAAAGTTTGTGTTGTAGGGTGTTGCTTATTTTCTGATTTTGTTTCTTTTCACCCATTTATAAAAACAAACATGGGAGCAGGGGCGTCCTGTATATCCAAATTAAAAACATGAACTCCTGGTGGGATGATTGTAGTCTCAAGGATCGGGATGAGTATAATTTAAAAAGTCAAGGTAAGAAGGGAGGAATATAAAACCCACCCCGAACATAATACCTACCCCAACCTTGTTGCCATGTTTAAAAGGGTCTCTATTATGCCCTAAAAGGGTCTCTATTATGCCCTTATGTTGAGAGAAATGAAAACATAAGACTTATATGTGGATGGGTTTTCATTTTGCATTGATTAAGAAATTTTGAGACTGCAATATATGGAGTCACATGTTCATGAAACTCCATTTACCAAATTATCAAATCAAATGATTATATATTTTATTGGAATCTGATTGACCAATGTGGGACTCAAATGACTTGTTAATGCTTTTACTTAAAAGAAGAAAAAAAACACCTTATTCAATTTGGAGTGCAATTGACATGGGACTTCAATTTGGAATGACAATACAACACTTTAGTGTTCGAATTTGTTAAACAATTGATGTGGAAAATGGTTATCCTAGTCAAAGAGTTTTTTAATTTGGAACACAACTAATGTGGGACTCAGTTAGTCTAGTAAAGACCAAACATTTTACATAAGATGCAACAATACAACAAGTTTAGTATTTTCGGAACTAACATATGAAACACTTAAAATTATTTTAAACTTTTTCAAAGAAGACGCAATAAAAAATTATGATGAAAATCCTACCAATGTGAGTTTAGTTTATAAAATACATAACAATATTATGAGGCAACATTTAGTTTATATTACTTAAGAATTTTTTTTTCAAGTTTTAAGTATTAACATCAATGCAAGGTGTTAAACTATATACTTTTTTATTTAACTTATTTATCATGTCTTAATAACATAATATTATATTATATAATTAGTCTTAATATCTATTGTATAATTAGTCTTAAATATTAATAATTTTATGTCATCAAATGATTATTATGTTTTTTTATCATTATTTAATATTACATTCAAATTTTAAAAAATTATTATTTAATTGTTATCTATTCAACCACAATTTAACTTTTAAACCTTGAACTAATATTTTCATTGGTCCAATTTTAAAAACATTAGTTTTAACTACACCTTGAGGCTTATTTATACAAGAGAAATACATTAAATGTGCATGATAAGGGAACATATAGTTTCCTACAATATATTCTCTAGATATCTTATTTTTAATAAGTATTATTCTCTAGATATCTACTTTGTGTGTTAAGTGGTACCAATTCAAACTCATGAAATAGTTTAAGAACACAATTTTCTAGCTGTAAGAAGTGTCATTAACATTTAATGACTTTAGTAGAGAGTTCACTAAATAGAATGATATATACCCATTGAATAGTAAGGTTTACCCATCTTTACAAGTATACCATAGTCCTATGGGATCAACAAAGGTTTTTAGGGTTTTCACATTAAAAACATTAGTTTTAACTACGCCTTGAGGCTTATTTATACAAGAGAAATACATTAAATGTGCATGATAAAGGAACATATAGTTTCCTATAATATATTCTCTAGATATTTTATTTTTAATAAGTATTATTCTCTAGATATCTACTTTGTGTGTTAAGTGGTACCAATTCAAACTCATGAAATAGTTTAAGAACACATTTTTCTAGCTGTAAGAAGTGTCATTAACATTTAATGCCTTTAGTATAGAGTTCACTAAATAGAATGATATATACCCATTGAATAGTAAGGTTTACCCAGCTTTACAAGTATACCATAGTCCTATGGGATCAACAAAGGTTTTTAGGGTTTTCACGTTTGGTCTCCAAAACTAGGGATGTGCATGATTTGGTTTTTTAAAAAAAAAAACACAATAAATTGAACTAAAACATTTTATAAAAGTAAATTGGTTTTGTGCACCATTTGAACCACTTTAATAAATTGGTTTAAAACTGAATTAATTTAATAAATAGGTTTATATCTTGTTTAAAATGGGTTTCAAAATCAAACCAATTTTGAACAAATTATAAGAAATGAATCATTTTTAAGAATTTGTTTTCCAATATTTTTTTTTTGCTATAATTCCAAAATTTGAATGGAAGAAACTACATTGAATGTGAGAATAAAACATCTTGCAAGGGAAAAAGAGATTACATCAAGGTAAGAATCTTATAAATCAACTACCTTGATTATCTAAATTAAAACCAAATCTATAAAAAAAGAAACAAATAAGCCTGATAAATAATTTCATAGTAAATGAAAAATAATTTTATATAGAAAAATATTGTAATGTAACACCCAAATTTTTTATAAAATATAATATAAATATTTTATTAATAATTTTGATATTTTTATTTTATTAATAGGGACTATTAAATATTTGTTTTAATTATGTAATATATTTTAAAATATATTATATAATATTTTATTAAAGAATAATATAATATTTTATTAAAAAGGAAAAAGATCTTCAGGATAATTGTGGTTAATATGTTTTAATTAGAGGGTTAAAGGGAGATTAGTTTTCTTTTTAAAAGAAGAGTTTTCTAGTCAAACCATTTTTACGTCTCTATTTTTACATACGCGCTTCAGAGCTCAAAGAACAGGAAAAGGAAGGAAATCACTCCTAAACCGTGCACCCATCATCTAGAGCTTGTTCGAGATAAGGGAAGTGAGAAACCCTGCTCCAGGTGTGGGTTTGTATGCTGGTAGTGAGATTGGTCTCGAATCCTATGTATGTTATGTGCTTATGTATGATGTGACACCCTTACTACCCAACACACACACACACACACACACACACACACACACACACACACATATATATATATATATATATA